AGAGATTGTCAGGTTACACGGAGTACCTTCTAGTATTATCTCTGATAGGGATTCTCGATTCACTTCCCAGTTTTGGCAGAGTTTCCAAGAAGCTATGGGCACACAGTTGAGGTTGAGTTCTGCATATCATCCGCAGACAGATGGTCAATCTGAGCGTACTATTCAGACCTTAGAGGACTTATTACGGACTTGTATTATAGAGAAGAAGAGTAATTGGGAGGATATGCTTCCTCTGGTAGAATTCACTTATAATAATAGCTACCATTCGAGTATAGATATGGCACCATTTGAAGCTCTGTATGGCAGAAGGTGTAAAACCCCTATCTGTTGGTTCCAAGATGGAGTACATTTGATGGTTGGACCTGAAATGCTGCAAGAAACTAAGGAGAAAGTTGAACTTATTAGAGAAAAGCTGAGAGCCACCCAGAGTCGACAGAAATCTTATGCTGACCGACGCAGAAGATCCCTAGAATTTGAGGTTGGTGATCACGTATTCTTGAGAGTATCACGCACTACAGGTGTGGGGCGAGCCTTAAGAGCTAAGAAGTTAACACCTAAATTCATAGGACCATATCAGATATTACATCGTAGAGGACCATTAGCCTATGAATTAACACTACCACCTCAGTTGTCAGGACTACATAATGTTTTCCATGTGTCGCAGTTAAGAAAGTATGTTCCGGATTCATCTCATGTAATCGAGCCTGATGTTGTGGAGTTACGAGATGATTTGTCTGTCGAGGTCCCAGCTGCTCGTATCGAGGATACTAGAGTTAAGGAACTTAGAGGCAAATCTATTCGATTAGTAAAAGTTGTTTGGGACCCAGTAACTGGTGATGCCACGTGGGAGTTAGAGGAAAGAATGAGAAAGTTGTACCCTCATCTTTTCTCTGAGTGATAAAATTTTCGAGGACGAAAATTTATTTTCGGGGGGAGAATTGTTAGGCTAGAGATTTATTATTGAGTAATCTATAATATTTTATACTTATTCAATGTTAATTGAAGGATTATTTGGTACTGGAATAGATTTAGATAGAGTTTGAAATTATTTAAAAAAAAAAAAAAGTGAACAGTACCGTATGAACAGTGTCATATGAACAGTAAAACCGCCTATGAACAGTGCAAACCGCGTACAAACCGTGTATGTACAGTGACTGCTGACGTCATCAGTGACATCATCATGACGTCATGGCTGACGTCACATACGCGTACAGTGCGTGTACAGTATTTTCCGGCGTGAATAGTGCCCTGAACAGTGTTTCCGGCGTGAACAGTAAGGCGGTAAACAGTGTTTCCGGCGATGAATAGTAAATTTCGAAAATTTTCTATAAAAAGGGGGCTTCACACGAAATTTTCATTTCTTCACCCCTATCCAAGGTTCTCAAAGGTTTTAAGGCCAAAAACCACCATTTCTCTCATACTAAACCTTCCTAAACTTAAATTTCTCGCCAGATCTGAGATTCTACGTCTATTCTGAAGGATTTGAAGTAAGTTTCTTTAAGTTCGAAGCTAGATTTACCGTTCGTTTCTCTTCTCCTTCTCTTTCTCATAAAAGTTCATGGTGTTCTTAGGAGAAACTCCGTTCTAAAGCCAAATCTTCGGTGAATCTTGCTATAAAACAAGTAATATTCGATAGATCTAGTGTGAATCGTCGTTCTGAGGTAAGGGGAGTTTACTTTAACCTATGAACTACGTTTTGAAGATGTTTTGATATGATTTTGTTAGATTTATTGAATAAAAGTTATTTTCTAAGCTGTAACTGCTGTTAATTGATTTAAAATGCTGAGATTTTGGCTGATCTATCTTAAACTTGCCTTAGCTGAGCTGTTAAAATAATTTTGGCGGTGTGCATCATGCTGAGACATATGTTTTGCATCATTATAGAGCCGAGTTACATGTTTAGGTGGGTAGACGTGTAACGGTAAGTTCATGCTGAGCTGCTGTGCTGTGCTGTCTGGATCCAGATACCGGAATGGGTCGCTCCCGAACCGGCTCGGTTCCTTCTGGATTACTTAGGCTGTGAAACCAGTTGGAAACCGTTTTCATGCTGTGCATTAGATGGGCTGGCAATGCATGGGGCTATTGCTGTGAGAAATATTTTACTCTATATATATGATTTTATTTTATTTTTGTAAGCTCACCCTTGCATTTCTTTCTATGTCGTTGTGTGCGTGTGTACTGCAATGATCGTACGGTGGTACGTGAGCAGATGTAGCAGGTGTTGCATCTACTTCACAGGCTGCGGGGCCAGTGGAGAAATGATAGAAGCTGAAGTCGAGTAATATTGCATCTAAGTCCTTTTTCCTTATATTTTAAGACCTCATGTAGAGGGAGCTACGTAATATAATTTTGGGTATTTTTGAATATTATGAACTAAATGTAATATTATGTTAGATATTTGTTGTAAGAAACTCTGTTTTATTTTGAATGAGAAGAGAATTTCATAATTATATTTTCTATACTTTATTTCAAATAAGTTTGTGATGTAGAAACAATGTTCTCGGTTCCTTATAAAAGGGGTCGTGACAACTGAACAAACTTCGTATGAAATTACATTGATGTCCTTCACTAAATACATTCTCAATTCGAGAGTCAAGACTATCAACATTGGTTCGGTGAACATCTGCTTTAAAAAGTGAATTTCATACATTACATCTATTTTCACATCGTTCCTAACCTCCACTAGATGTAGAATTGAAAATTTTTTAAATACCTCGCCACTTTTTGCATTGGCTTTCTACGTAACCAATGTTGAAACTTATTTCTTCCAAAACATTACTTTCTACATCAGATGTTCAATCTAACGATGTACATAGTATATGACCCATAAATATATCCCTACTTTCTACATTGAATCTCCAGAACCCAATGTTGTTTTTCTCTTTAACCTTACTTTATACATCGTTAATCTGAGACAAAGTTTCATAAACTACCCTTTTTAATTTAAGATAAGGTATCCCGTAAACTCTCAACACCTATTCATTAAATACTCTCTAAGTGGAATTTCCAAAAGTTGTATTCCAAAATTCTAACATCTTGTAATGTTTTTCTATAAACAATTATGCACATTTCAATTGCTTTATAGTGCTCAATTGCATAGTGGCCGGTGGAGTGTACGGTAGACTGTGACCAAACTCCATTACGGTTCAATAGGAGGAGAATAAAAGAGGAACAAATGGATATAAACTAGCAAAAGGTAGAAGACAATGAAGCACGAATACGAACATGTACATTAAATTTCCAATTTATCTTTCATAAATATAACTTGTATTATCGGTTGCCTCTCTTCCACTTTTTACCATTGGATTTTCATCAACAATTCACAATGTTTTAACGTTTTTCAAAAAGACATATATCCCTTATTACCAAAAAAAGACAAGTATAAGTAAGGTTGGTAAGAAACTTTTACCCACTATTGATAATATTATTCTTCATGTGACTAAAACATAATCTATTTAACATGAGTCAATTTTGTGAAAGTAAATATATTATTTCATTTGAAAAAGAGAAATGTAAAGCTAAAATGCATGATAAATCCATATTATTTACTCTTGTAGGCATAATAATCTTTACAAAATATATTTAGAGGAGATAAATAAGCAAAAAATTATTTATCTATTTAAAACAAAAAGATGAAAAGTAGGTCTAACACAAAAAAAACTTGGAATATCAATTTAAAACATATTTCACAACTTCACAAGAAGAGTAATGTGAAAATACTACTTGATACATCCTTCAAATATAACATTTTATGTGAAGCACGCTAGAAAAGAGAAACAAACTAAAAATTCTTTCAAATCCAAAAATATTATTTTCACTTTAAGACTACTTGAGTTACTAAAATGAACTATTTGACTTCATTAGAACCTTGAGTTTAGGAGGTAAAAAATATGAATTAGTCATAGTCAATGACTATAACCCTGTTTGGATAAATATTTTTATAAGTACTTATATCAAAAATAACTTATTATAAAATGCCATGAATTGTAATTTTAAAATTTTGGTAGAGGTATTTTTTGTCTAATCAATTTTTATGGACAACTTCCCAGAAAGTTAAAATTTAGAAGCTCTTAGAAAATATGTCTGTAAATAGCACTTTTTTAATAGATTTTTTAGTCTATAATTCTCATTTAAAATTTCTTGCTTCATTTTTAAATTACAAACAAATATTTCTATTTATAAATTATGTTTGTAATGTTTCATGCAAAATATTAAGCCAATTACAAATAAAAAATCTGTAAATTTATAAATCTGTCTATATAACAAATAGGAAAAAAAATTTCTATAATTTTTGTCTGTATTAAGCGTATTTCTAGTAGTGTTGAAATTATTTTTAACTATTAATACTTAAACATATGTTTAAGTGATAATTTTATTTAATAATAAATTATATATATATAATAATATATTTTTTATAACTTATCACAATTTTTTTATTGGTATAATTTTTTTGTTTTAGTACCCATAGAAAAATTTTGAAGTATATACCACATCACGCACTTAATCCTTAAGTATCTTTTAACTTATTTAAGAATCCTATATCACATTTAGAACCGAACATATACAGACTAGCCATCACTTTATTATAAATTATGTTCAGAAAGGAGTCTTAAATATTAAGTTCATTGATGCATATCATCAAACCTTTATGAAAAGATAGATAGGTTTGCATTTACGAGGGATAACATAAACATGCTATATTGTTTGTCATTGGGGTTTTTATATATCAACTATCAACTGGTATTATGATGAGAACATGAGTCATATTACATGACAATTGAATTTCAAAATAACTTCTCAAATATCCCTCGGAGCCAAAATAACAAAAACACTTTTAGATAACCTTTCCTTATGCCTTTTTTTTTTATACTGGAGTTAAAGAACACCAAATGAACGTAAACATTAAGTACTCCTGAAAATACAAATTATTAAATTTCAACATTTAAAAGAAACCTTACACGTAGTAGGTGAATAGAATATTATAAATTGAGATCCCTTGATCAAATGTTTCTGTTTGTCACCTTAACCTTCAAGCCATGTCTCATATGAAGGACAATGGAAACACTGGGGGATATGGGGTGGCCTTCGCTTACTTTGATGTGATAATTCCACAGTATAGCAGCAGCAACCATCTTCATCTCAGTGAAGCTTATGTCCTTACCCAAACAACTTCTTGGTCCAGCATTAAAAGCAATGAACTTGTAAGAGGGCATATGAATAATCCCTCCTTTCTTAGAAATCCACCTCTCTGGTCTAAATTGCAAGCAATCTTCTCCCCATATTTCTTTCACCCTTCCCATTGAATATAGAGAATATAATATCATGGTATTTGAATTAATCCCATGGCCACTAGGAAGAACATCAGATTTTAATGCACACTTGTGCTCGAAAGGTAATGGAGGATAAAGCCTTAAGGCTTCACATAATGCTGCATGGAGGTAAATTAATCTGCTAAGCCTTTCGACACCTAAATCCTTCCAATTACCTTCTCTTGATGGCAAATTTTCTCGAATCTCTTGAAGAATATTGGATTCCACAGATGGGTGTGTTGCAACCAGCCAGAAAAACCAAGTGAGACCTGCACTAATGGTGTCTCTCCCAGCTGCAAGGAGATTCAGCGCTGTGTCTCTCATAAACTTGTCATTTATATTTCCCTTTCCTACCTCATCTATAAGAACATTTAACAAGCTAAACGGTGACTTATTTGCTAGGCCGCTATTGCTACTGCTTTGGCCTTTCACGTTGCACTTGGATGCGATTTCTTCATACAACATCTGGTCAATAACTATCTGGCTTTCTTTCAGCTTCTTCTCAGTTCCAACATTAAGCCATTTCAGCAGCTTCCATAAGCATCTTGGCATGACATGTCTGTGCAACAGAGCATCCTCGACATCAGTGAATGCTTTTTCACATGCAACGTGAGGGAGTTCAATGGAAAGGCAATTAGGATCATATCCTAACACTATGGAACAGATGTTGTCAAAAGTTAACCTTTGAAAAACATCTTGCAAGTCCACTTCCAACCCTTCTTTCCATGCATGATCAAGAAATGGAAGCAGGGAACTCTCAATCTTTTTCATGATGGTTTTGTGAATAAATAACTGAAAACCTGCCTGCTTGAAAACTGAATGAAGTATGGTTCTGTTATACTTCCATAAAAGGGAATCAGACCTGAAAATCCCGTCTCCCAGGATTTCAAAAATCTCGCCAAAATCATCCCCTTTCCCATAGTTTTCAAACTTTGTGCTTGTGATGTGTTGTACATTCAATGGGTCACTGGTACAGAAAAAGTTCATGTTTGATAGCCAAGGTCCTTCAAACATGGCAGTACCACCTTGTTCCTTCAGAACTGAAGTAACATAATCATAGATGCTGGACTTGTTAAGGAAGAGACCAGGTAGCATCCCAAGCACGGGCCACTTAGTGATGGGCGTGCGTCGGTTGAGTATCCAGTAATAGATTATAACGAAAACAAGAAATGCCGCAAGCAATTCTCCACTCCCAAGCACAGCCATCACTTGTGATCGTAATTGATACCAGTGCTGTTTAGTGTGTTGGAATCGAAGGCAGCAATGAAACTCTATTTATAAGAGTTTTCCTTTCCTTCAACATTTATGTTTCTAGTTACTAGTTTCTAGTTATTTTCTCCTCTAGCACCTACATTTCGCCATTAATATAAATAAAAAACCAACTTTTAAAAATAAAAACGTTACAACATTAGTAGCCTGATATAGCCACTACATCAGTCACGCGGCATTATTCAATTTGATAAAAACTAAAGTTTTAGAAATTTGGTAAAGCATTTAAAAAATTATCAAATTTTTCCCATATAGTTTAAATTTAGCTCATTTACATAAATATATTAACTTTATGTAATTTATTTTTTTATAAATTAAAATTAAATTTTGAATACTCAACTTGTTTTTATTAATCTCCATATATTAAATAATGAGTCTGTCTTTAAACGAAAGCATTTTTTAGAAACTATCTTAAATAATTGCACTTTCAAAAATTTTATTTTTCTGATTATATACGTGATTTTTCTTACATTTAATATTTAATTTTAATTTTAATTTTCAATATCATAACTCTTTAATTTAGTCTTGTTTAATATAGTAAAACATCAACTTTATATATAAATTATGAGTACTAATTATTAAAGTGTTTTAAAAACATTTTTAAACTAGAACATTTTTAAAACAATTCTCAAACGAGAATATTTGTAAAAATTATTTATTTCATCATGTTAAGTAAGTTCTTCTATATGGTGTGTTTATTTTTTAATTTAATATTAATTCAAGTTTTAATTTTTGTTTAGTATGCTTATCCTTTTTAAACACATTGAGCATACTCGTTTGATCATAAATAATACAATCCAGAATATATATAATTTCGTTTGCATTTATAGTTGTCTTTATTTTCATACATTTGTTATTATTTTTTATCTTTATATATATATATATACACACAGTGTATTTTAACGTGAAAAGATAAGAGAAAAATGACGTTGCAGTAGTATTTGCCCATAAATATCAGTTGTCTCACTGTCAGAAATAAAAACAGGGGAAGAAAGATCTGCACGTGTACGAGGTATGCCAACAGAGTCAAATGTTGTGAAATAGTTAACAGTTGAACGAAAGAAGGCACAGGGAACGGAGAATACGAATTATACGATGCATGATGCGATGCCTGACCCTCGAATAACTTCTGAAATGATCACTTTTTATTATACAGTTTTTAGTTGGGAGAAGGGCCCCAAATATACTTATTACACGTTAATTTTAGTATGGTTAAATTTTATTAAAAATTTAAAATAAGAAAATTATCATTAAAGTTAATGTAAAAATTATTAAATATAGGTTATCTTATATAATTTTTAATCAATAATATTCACAGTTTACTTAATTAAAATACAATTCACACCTTTTCATGATCTAATATTAAATATTAATTATAAAATCTTTAAATATAATGTGAAATTATAATAAATATAAGAAAAAGATCATTTAACATTAAGATTTTAAGACTAGATATTATAAAGTAGAGTATTTTATCTAACATCAATAGTTAAATATTAAAATAAACTTCTAATAAAGTTGTTTTATTAAGTTACAAGTCCTATTATAAGACCCTTAAGCTATCACTTTTTAAAGTCTGTAAATAAAATATACATTAACTATAATTAGTTATATATTTTAAAATCAAATTAAAACAAATAATAAATTTATTGTTTCGTTTCAATAACACTAATAGACTCAACAACCTTTAAGAAAATTAAAAATAATTTCTAATTAAAAGTAGTAAATATGAATTTAATTGAATAAATAAACTAATGTAATCCTTTTAAATTATTTCATAATTTTTTTTATTAAAAATATACTCAACATAAGAAAATTATTCAATATTTTTATAATATAACGTAAATAATTAACAATAGAAAAAATATTAAATATATGATACACCTTATATCATGTGTTCATAATTTAGTACTAATTAGAACATGTGAATTTTTTTACCATCAATATTTAATAAGTTGTTTGGGTATAAAATTTAATAAAAACAATTGACAACAAAACCATAATAACATGCCAACAAACCATTAAAACTATATCTAAACTAAACAGTATATATTGTGGAAGTATAATAGAGAATAAATTTTTACAAATAAAAATTAAATACACAACAGTGGCCAACAAAAAGTGCATAGATAGATGTAAGATTGATAATCGATGAAGATGAACTTGAGAATATCTTACTAACAGGACTTAGCAATAACAAAACTTGATAGAAATTTAAAAAAAGAACAAAAAGAACAAAAATCACAACACATTCCTCTCCGTAATATTGCAACATACAAGTTGTTTCCAGTCCAAAGTGCACGCCTTAATGACATGTCATTCTTTTTGTTATTGGAAAATATTACTGGAAAATATTACGTTCAAACAAATTAAAGTAAAAATATTTTTTCACACTAATGTAAATTTTAAAACTCTTATATTTGATTCAAATTTTTTATTTAACAATTAGTAAAGTAATAAATTATAACTTATTAAATATAAATTAAATAAAAGACTTAGATCGAGTAAAAAAGTTCTTAGAGTAATACTAATGTACATAAATTTGTACAACAAGTAATTACCTTAGTTGTTACTTATGAGTACATGAATACTCATTAAGGTATTATATTTGTTGAAACTTAAATAAATAAAAAGTCTTTAAAAATGAGTTTTTTATTTAAATAATACAATTTTAATTTTTTTTAAATAGGATAAATTAAAAATTAATTCTATGTTTAGTATTTTTTTTTTATCATGTTAGCATTAGTTTCACATCTATACAAACGATAATAGCTTTATATTATTATTTTAATATAGTATTGTCTCAGTTTCATTTTGTTTGATACAAGCTCCAAGTATAACACATGAGCATTGAAAAATCGGCAAAAAAGGTGAGAAAAATAAAAAAATAAAATAAAAATAATATCTCACCAATACAAACGATACATGTTACATGTTTGTGTTGCATTAGTGTGGACAAAAAGAGAGGGAAACGATACTTATTTGAAATAGACAGCTCAGAGAAAAATTTAGCCATGTGTGTAGATCTAAATAGTAGTCATTGGCGCAGCAACAGGGCTAACATCCTATCTGTGATGATAATGCTTTAAATTTTGACATGTGGCATAGTGGTAACAGCATTACAAAGCCCTTTTTTTCTCCCCTCCTTCTTCATCTTCCTCCATTACGTAGGCATAGAAAAAGTGCTAAGTTAGTTATGAGAAATTTTCAAAAAATTGTATTTTTACTCTATTTTTGTCAAAGAAATCAAAAGATAAAAACAAATTTATGAAATATTTAAGTTTTGTCTAATTTTTGAAGAAATAAATAACAGTTTTGCATATTAATTTTTTAAGTGGTGGTAGTGAATTGGAAGTTTGTTAGTGAAGGATGTAAATTTCATATGTATTCTTTTAGAATTTTTCTGAATATGTAAAATTTATTTCGTATTTTATTAAAAAAAAAGTTTAAATTGTATTTTTTATTTATTTATTTCTTAATATCAGATTTAGGTTTATGTTATTTTTTAGTATATAATATCTGGAATGTTAAACCACAAATTGAATCATTAGTTAAATTTTAAAAAAGGTTATTACAGTAAATAAATAAATTAGAACTTTGTAAAAATTTAGAAAAAAAATCATCATTGTTAATAATTAATTAAGAGTAAATTTAATTTATAAATAGTAAATTGAATTAAACAAATATAAATGTAGGTAAACAAATTTTATTAGGTTGTAGTAGACTCAAATTACATAATTAGATAAATTATTAAAATAAATAGGTAATTACATTAAAATTTAAATTACATATTTATTAAAAATTATGAAAAAGTTAATAATAGTTAATGATTGGTCAGGAGAGTGAATTAAATTTATAAAATATTTAATGAAAATAAATAAATTGAAATGTAGGTAAATTAAATTTATTAGGTTTTAGTACACTAAAATTAAAAGTTTAAATATTTTTAAAAATAGGCAATTACAGTAAACAAAAAATTTGGATATTTAAATAATATAATTCATAAAATAAATCATTATTAATGATTAATTAAGGGCTTTTTTCATAGAAATAAAACATTTTGATTACAAAATTACGCATGTGCTTCAGAAAAAAAAAATCTGTGAATGTCCTAAAACTGGTACATTGAAGTCGATTAAAATTGACATTCTCAATCAGAGAAAGACTATTTGAATCAACTTGTGTGTTGCAAATCTCCCATTACAAAAGTCGATTGAAGTGGTTTTCCTGTGAATACTGAAGTCAATTGATGTTGATTTTCCTTTGTCCATTCTATTCCAAATAAGTCGATTGAAGTTGACTTTTATTCCTCCTTTTTGGGTCTGAAGAAGTCGATTATAATCAACTTGCCTAGTGAGGAGAAATTAATTAGAATTGACTTCAATCATTCTGGAAACGAGTATAATCGAATACTATGTATCGTCCCCTAAGCCAACAATACTGAGACCAGAGAGAGTGAGAGTGAAGAAAAGCAAAGGCAGTGGAGGAAGATGGATAATGATCTATATCGGCTTAATGAGACGTCCCTATTTTCAATAGGTATTTTTCAATGTCATCTCATTTCTTGTGGTGAATAAGGAATAAATTAAAGTGTTTAACAACTACTCAATTCCAAATGAATACACATCAACATGCTTATTTTATATATATATATATATATATATATATATATACACACACACACACACACATACAGCATGTCCTCAAGTATAATGTTTAGAGTACATAATATAATATTATATACTATCTAAATTGTTTTCAAAATTATTTAACTATGAAACATTACAAGGAATGATAACAGTTTAGGATAGTATACTACATATAATACATAAATAAACTAAACTTCTCCTCTCCTCTTGACTCCTTCCTTATTCATCGAACCCCTCTAGAGGAGGGTCGAGATTAATGCCAAGGTATGCAGCTGCATGGCAGAGTGG